TCGATAGATCTTAATACTATCGATAGCTTTTGATAGTTTTTGTTTTTCTTACATTATTTTTTTATCGTTTATTTTTACTTTGCATGCTCATTTGACAGAGCCTGGCAGCACCTTTTAATAAAAGATATTTCGGCAGCGTAGATTTACCAGCATTTTCTTGTTTCAACGGGTGTTTTGATAAGTGAAAAATATGGATAGTTTCGTGAAGAGAACTAAAAATGGTAAATATCTGATATTTAATGAGAAAATATCTGATATGGAATGAAGTAAATAAAAGTCAACTCGAATTATTTTAATAAACAACGACTCACTCCTTCTGATTCGTATGAAGTTTTGATTTGCTGAAAATCGCTATAAGTTTTTTCAACCTGTAAAAAGAGTATCGATGGTTCCTAAAAATCTATCGCATACTATCGATAGAGTCGACTATCGAAAGCTTCAGACCACTAGATTTGTATATTCTACTTCATATATAAAACACTTATCGTTCTGAATTTTGTAATTTATGAAGATTGAAGAATCATGTATAGCAAATTAAAACTGTGCGTTTAAAATTGAAAACGAGAAAACGGACACATATTTTTCGGCTATTTAAATTAACCAAACTAATAGTTCATTTCCGCCAAGTCTTAACTACGTATGTCAAGTTAGCACTACACTTTTCGAAATTGGAAAAGTTAGCTACGGCATTAATTGTAGTGCTTTTGTTGTAAATTTGTTGTGGAAAGAAAAAATTTGTAGCTCTCAATTTTTAAAAAATATGGTATGTAGTGCTAACTTGACACCATACACCTATTCGATAGAATGGAGGTATCCAATATGTTACTATGCCATTAATTGTACCTTTTTTGTTGTAAATTTTTTATGGAAAGAAAGCTACAAATTTTTTCTTTTCACAACAATTTTTAAGTTAAAAGCTACAATTAATGCCGTTATAACATTTTCAATATCTCAATTCTATCGACTAGGTATATGGTGTCAAGTTAGCAGTACGTACCATTTTTTCTTAAAAAACGAGAGCTACAAATTTTTTCTTTCCACAACAAATTTACAACAAAAACAATTAATTCCGTTGTAACTTTTTCAATATCTCAATTCTGTCGTCAATGGGGCATGGTGTCAAGTTAGCACTACATACCAAATTTTGTTCGAAAAAGGGTTAACTCAATTTTTTCCAGAAAAACGAAAGCTACAAATTTTTTCTTTTCACAACAAATTTTAAGGTAAAAGCTACAATTAATGTCATAGTAACATATTGGATATCTCCATTCTATCGACTAGGTGTATGGTGTCAAGTTAGCACTACATACCATTTTTTCTAAAAAACGAGAGCTACAAATTGTTTTCTTTCCACAACAAATTTACAACAAAAATACTACAATTAATGCCGTGTTTAACTTTGCCAATTTCGAAAAGTGTAGCGCTAACTTGACACACGTTATATGCTTCTTCGGTACGTGTGTTTGTGAATCCCTCCTAATTGCCCGAAGCGATTTTGACAATTTTTTTTTAAGTATTTGAGCGGGTCCCTGTATAATTTAGGTTCACAACTTGAAACACCAGGTGGCGCTGGAGTCGTGTTATTACTAAAAATCGTATTTATTGTCCGATTTGGCTCATATTCGAGATATATATAGGTAAAGGTAAAGGCAATATGTACTATTGTATAAAGGGAGCTGCAAGGTGGCGCTGGAATCGAGTTATTGGTCAAAATCTTCAAGTGGAGTCACTCAGAGACAACGAGGATCGAAGTTAAATTATCACCGTTAAACCAACGACCAGAACCATTGCGGTCCTTGCTTTACGTCGTCTAAACAGAATAAAGACAATTCTTGATAAATGCCTACAAATTAGGACTGTGCGATTATTCGATTACTCGAGCAAGTTGGTTAATCAGTTATTCGGTTAATCAATTACTCGAGTAATCAAGATTTTGATTACTCA